GCTGATTTATCAAGCAACTTTGACTCCATTTCTCCAACAAAGCTTTCAATGAATTCTGCTTCATACCTGCATGTGAAAATAAAATTATAAAGTGATCTTTTTTACATGAAAATAGCGTGATCGTTTAAGTCAACTGAATTTTAAATTTTTATGCATAAAATTTTTTTAAAAAAAGCAGGTAATGTGAGATGTAAAGAAAACATGACCGCAAATTTAGCAGTTTTAAGTTTACCATGAAATTTAGTTTAAATTAGTGGAAATAGCAATAATTTCATTTATAGAAGAGTTGTACATTGCCTCTGGTATTTACAGACATAGACGGTTATGTTTATTTGTCCACACGCTTTAATAGCTCCTAGATATTCAAATCATTTAATTAGCACATCATAGTTTGAGTTTTCTTTTCTGGTAGTACGTCTTTTTTTTTTTTAATTTTATTTGAGCACCTTTTCACAATAAACGTTGTCAGATTACAAGTTCGAATCTAACGCTATTTAGTAACGTTTTCAACTATCAATTTTTTTTTATTAATTATTCATTATTTATTAATAAACAACGAATTTCAAAATTTAGAGAAATTATCAATTTTTAATATTAATTTTTTAATGGTTGAATATTACATAATAATAATTATTTTGTAATTTTACTATATACTGTTTGTGTGCAATTGTATATTCAAGAAAATGTCCACTTCAGAATTCTATCATTAATCATTAATTGAGTTCAAGTCGAAAACTTAAATCATCTACAGCCAATACAGTCCTACAAGTCTATTTTACCAAGAAATATAAATAAAGGTCTACAATTAGATAAAAGGGCAAAAACATTAATTACCTTTCTATTTTACATCAATTACGTACATAAATATTATTTTTATTTCAAAAATATATATAAACCTTCCTCATATGTTATTTTTATCTGTTCAATCATTAGTTTATTCAATTGTTAATTGAATGTTAAATTTAACTTTGAAACTTTTATTTTATCCAAAGTAACTCTATTTGACATAAAAAATTATTTAAATATTTATATTTGTCAAAAACATAATTTTTCATACAATAGAAAATAATTCTAATTCATATAATTTCAAACTTTCTAGATTGTTATAAAATTTATTAATTATTAATTTTGATTATTTAATGAAATTGTATAATTTTTTTAGTACATGTATTGAAATGTATTTATTTAGATTTCTTTTAAACGGCTAAGATTATGTTTCAAATGCGTATATTATTCATCATATATAACAAATGATATAAGTTTAACAGACTATATAAATAAAATAAATTTGTAACCTAAAATTTTTAAACATTTTTGTAATAAACATTTATAAATTTGCAAATATATTTGTTGGGCTGAATTCATAAACACGTTTAGTCAAGTATATATTTATTAAAGAAATTACTAAAATTCTTAATTAAGTTTTTTTATATCTATGCTAATTAAATTACTTAAGCTTTTACCCAATAAATTAAAACATTAGAAAAATAATTATTTGCACGAGAAAAATCAAGAAAAAGAAAAAGAAAACACTTAATCCTTCAAAATAATTTTATCAAAAATTAGGAATCTAGTGTGATGAAAAATAAGTTAGTAAATAAATATCATTCCAGTACAAATTTAATTAAAAAATATCATTTTAAAATATTCTTAACAAAGTTAAGGATTTAAATTAAACTTACGTGTATGTGTTTAAAAATAGATAAAAGGTCAATGTAATTAAGGTAAAATGGATTAAAGGATTTTTTTAAAAAAATAAATGACATTTATAATACGTTTTAGTCTGCTCCCTACCTATTTTAGGGAGGGACCGAGTCACCCGCCCAAGACCACACATCCTATCCCTAGGTGAATAGATCCTACAATCTCCTCAATAAGAGAGGATGTGGCTAATCTTACAGTTTAGAGTATATTTGAATATCAATGTCCTTAATTTTCAACAAGAAAAGACATGGTAACTATTAAGAGAAGTGGAAATTACCCGTCGTTTAACTCCCAACCACATATAGCAGCAACTTTTTCTAAATCATCCCTCCATTTTTCCACCTTCATTTTGTCATGTGCAAATCTTTCTTCATGCTTTCTGAATGCCTCTGCAAAACTTCCCTTTGTTTCCTAACATCAGATGGATCTACACCGTAAAATATCGGAAATACTTCAAGACTTGTCTCTTCCTTCAACTGCAGGATCTTTTGAAGCTCATCCAAACACCAAGTTGAAGAAGCATAATTTGAGAGAGCACAATAATGCAGAACGAGATTCTTCAATTCTTGTAATAAACTTGGATTAATAGATTCTCCCTTTCAAGTTCTTCCTCATCCCGGAAAGTTCTTAATCCTTTGCGTTTTAAAGCAGCATACAAATGATCAGTAAAATTTTTCCGAGTATCTTCCCCTCGAAAGCTCAAAAACACATCATACTTCCTTCTCTTAGTTGAACCAGAAGAGCTTGAAGAACACCCAACTCCATCAGCATCACGCGCCATCGCAAGGATTTGGAATCTGAATCCAAACAAAAGTAAAAGCACAAAACCAGAAAGAATAATACATAAATAATGGGAGCTTCAACAAACAGTGCAGCAATCAGTCAGGGGGATACTGAAGACGGGAGAAATTGGACCAATTTTTCATGATTTGATCAGGCTAAATATATGAGAGGCGTGATTTGATCTAGCCTGCTATGAATCAGGCAAAACTTTGAGGCAGAACATAAATCTAATTCGCCGATTCAAAAGTTCATGAAAATTTCGAAGATAGTCTAAAAGAATTGTCAAGGAAGAAATATATCCCAGCTTAATTGAATTGACAACTAACGAGCTAGCTAGAGGTTGACCTGCTCGGCTGCGCCCCCATCTGTCCCTTAATTTTGGGGGCCCTTTTCAATTGTTTTCAATATTTGAAAAATCGGATAAAATTAAAAAATGAATCATTTTTTGTCTATGAAATATCAAAATATCACTCATTTGGAAAGGACCCCAAAATTAAGGCGTGGCTGGAATTGCAGCCGGGGGGAGCTGACACCCAGTGCCTAACTATGTTTATATTTCTTACAGCTCATGGGCTATTTATAGTTCAAAGCAAAACTTTTGTATTCAAAGAAAGCATAATCACAAAATTAAAGCTTGAAAGGCTAAATCCATTTCACAGGGGAAAAAAAAAAATAAAATAAGAGAAACTAATCTTAAACTGACAGTGGTAGCCATGACAGAAAATAGATATATAACATAATTAGAAAGGAAGAAAACAGGAACCTGATGGATGAAATAAGTGAAAGATTTCTTTGATCTGCGACCTGATCGGAAGAAGATGAAACCCGGTTATGCACAGATTTTTAATTTTGAGGATGAAGCTTTTCAAGTAAACTCAAGTCTTCTCTTTAATTTAACAAGCTTTTAAAAATGTTCTTTTCACACTGGGACTCAAACCGCGTTGCTGTCTTCCCCTTTGCAAGAATTTTTTATTTTTGATCAGCTTACAGATGTTCTCTGAAATTGGGACATAAAGAATACTTTTTCAAGTCGCGATTTGAGGGCTTTAACAAACTAAAGTGAACCTAGGCTTAGAAAAAGTTTAATACTCCTTCCGATTCCAAATATATGAGCTATTTTATTAGGATGCTTGTAGTTGATTTTTCTTTGTATGATAGATCTTGAACTCTTTAGCTTGTAAGAGCCTGATTTAGCTATCGACACGGACTAGACTAGTAAATTGCTCGAATAGCTGGTAATAAGATTAAAAAAAAGCACCAAATACGGGATAATAGTATTTCTAAAAAAAATAAAAAGAGCGTGATTTAGCATTGGAATTACGTATCAGATTAAACTCATGACAGCATTTCTAGTTGAAAGAATTTCACACAACTTCTTATTTTTTTAAAAGAATTTCTAGTTGAATTTTTTTGTATTATTTTTACCAAGTAAAGTTCCTTCAATTTGTCAGTATTTTTACCAAGTAAAGTTCCTTCAATTTGTCAGGCATTTTTACTATAATAATAAATCAGACTACGAGAGCCATCTCAGCCACAACTTCATCTTTGCCTATAAATTAAATACAAGGCCTTGTCTCTTCCTTTGTGCTTAAGTTTCTCAAACCAAAGCCTATATTGAGGCAGAAATTGCAAGATTCAGCAGTCAAAAGAAATAAAGAGATCATTCTCATCTTGGATAATAATGATTTTCTTTTTTTTTTTTGGGCCGGCAATAATTTTTTTAAATTTGATAATTATATTTTATTTGACGCATTAATTATTTTTAGAAAACAGAGATAAATTTTTTGATGTGTACTGTGTGAGAAAAGTACCAAAAGAGACTCTGCGATCCAACTCCACGTATTTCATATCTCATCTCACAGGGAAGTGGGAAGTGAGTCACCAGCCTTCTACCAATCCCGGCTTCCGTCCTCCGATTACGCGTCAGACACGGTCCATTATGGAGTTGGTAAGTTTTTACCCAACTACGTCGGTGTGGAAGCCACCTACTCTCCCATGTATTAAAGGCAAAATAATTATGATTTACAAAATATGTTATAAGAATATGAATTGAGTTTTATTTCACCTTACCTAAAAAGAGCTTCCATCTCCCAGTTGGTAAGACAAACCACATCACAGTCTTATACTCTCAGAATCCTTCTTTTTCCTTTTTTCTGAGAATATGATCTCTCCCTTTAGATCAAATAATGAATTATTCAGATTTCATACTTTATAAAACTATTGTTATAACATTGCATAAAGAGGAGAGAGAAGATGGATATCTACTTTTTAAAATATTAAATCTGAACTATCTATTATTTGATCCAAAAGTGGAAATGAGATTTTGAGAAGAAAAGAAAAAAGAAGAATTATGAGAGTATCCAGATCCACCACATCAGATTATTAAACAATTATTTAGGAGATCACATGTTATTTTTATTAATTTATCAATTGATTCTTGACTAAAATTCATAATGGCTCTAAGGGACACTTTTGTGAGTCTACTAATAATAATCCTTGCATGCTAGCCTCGCCTAATCTTCCCGTTCTTTCCGTCTTCCCCAGCTTGAAGTCATCCCCATTTGCAAATCATCATCTTCATTCCAAAAATCATCATCATCAAATCTGAAACATTTTTTGTGAAATCGTTTTTCTTATAGCGTTAGCATTATCCTCTTTGACTCTTGTGCAAGTCCTGATAAAGGCTGAAACAACATCCTCCCTCTTTGCAATGTTTCCTTTAGAGCCCATTTGGTAAGAAGGAAATGAAAGAAAAGAAAGGGAAGAGAAAATTTTAATGAATTTGATTTTAAAAAAAATTAAAAAAATTGAGTTAAAAATTTTTAATTAAATTTTCCTCCTCTTTTATCTTACATATCCTCTTTATCAAAACGTTAGAATCTCACTTCTTCAATTTTTCTAATCAAACTCATTAAAATTTATCCTTTCCTCTGATTTTCTTGAACCAAACATAGGGTTAGCCTTATTCATTCAAAAAGTCATCATTATGCCGCGTCAATTGCATTCTTGCTTTAAATTTTCGAACTTTTTTGTTGTGATTTTTTTTGGTTGACCTGGACGTGTATATTGAATTGAAGGCCCTTTTTGGGTGAAAGTTGAAAATTCTATTTTTCATGGGTTATAGTGGAGAAAAGGAATCTATCTTTTCAAAAAGAAGTAGGCTCCATGACTTATATTTAAAAAATATATTTATGAAAAAATTATTTGCAATTTAAAATTAAAAATTAGTGCCATTGGAAATTAATAAAGAAAATTACAAATAAAAACCCCTTAATATGTGAAATTGTGATTTGAGATTTTAAATTTGAAAAATAGCTTCGAAGACCTAGTCCCAAATTGCAAATATGAAATGGGTGAAATGCCTGAAATGCCCCTCAGCCAAATGACAAGTTAACTATGGGAAATAACAAGTTCTATTTAGTGAATAACAATTTTAGTAGACCAAATCACAACCTGGTTGAGGTATGCCAAATAACAAGTTGATTATGGGAAATAACAAGTTTATTTTAGCGAATGACAACTTCAGTAGACCAAATCACAATTTGGCTTAGGGGCATTTTAGATATTTCATTAAGATTTCATATTTGCCGTATGAGACCAAGTCTTTATTTGTAATTTTTCAAATTAAAGGTCCCAAATCGTAATTTCACATATTAGGGTGTCTTTATTTGCAATTTTTCCAAATTAATATTATATTAAAATATTTTTAAAAATAAAATAATATAAAGTAAATAGTAAAACAAATATTTAAAAGTTACTTTGTCATAAAAATAGTTATGATTAAAATTATCATCTAGTTTATTTTTGGTTTTTAATAATACATATGTGTATATATAATTGTTTGTGTAAAAGAATATTATATATATATATATATATATTAAATTTTGCATAATAAATTAGTATGTTTATTACAGCTCAACTACTGAAGTCGTGCGCACACATACATGGGGTCTCTAGTTCGACCTAGGGAGAAGTCACTTTGAAGAGGAATTATATCATGGTGACATGTGACGGTACAAGGTGGCCTGTGAAGTGGTGACATGTGGAGGCACCCAGGCGACTGTCATTGGTGATGAGGTGGAGGTGCTAGGTAACATTTTAATTTTTTAAAAAAATCAAAATTCTGTTCCTAATTTTTAGAAAATTTTCAATAGTAATTAGTGACTGAAAAATTCCATTGCTAACTATTGCTATAATTTCATCGCTAATCCAATTAGGGGCAAAAGAATTAGTGGCCGTTTGGATGAGCGATTGGAAAAGCTGCTTATTGGAAAATCAGCTTATGGATAAGTGAAGTGGGATAAAAGCTAAATTGGATAAGCTGAATTGTGTTTAGACTGGAGTTCAGAAAAGCCCGTTTGCAAAAGTGAGATTGGTAAAAAACTGTTTGGATTATAGTTGAGTAAAAGTAAGTTTGGTTGTAAAATGACCAAAATGGGTATGAGTTTTAATAAATAGTAAAAAATAGGAAAAAAATAATTTCACATAATACAATGGAATTAAAATAATTTAATACGAATAAGTGAATTAAATTTTAAAAATTTAGAGAAATCTAAAAAATTATTTTAAATATAAAGTGAAAGAAGGAAAAAATTGAATAGAGATAATATAATGATGAAGTAAAATTTATTTAGTGAATTAGAATTACGAACTGTAGAGAAATCATAAAAAATATTTAAGAAACGAAGTGCAACATAATAAAAAAAAATTAACATAATACAATAAATTTAAATTAATTTAATACGAAGAAGTCAACTAAACATAATTTAAATGGATAACAAAGTTTTGAACTCCAATTGACAAAGTAAAATAAAATAATATTACATAATTAATTATTTGATAAACTATGAACGATTTGGTCTCTGATTGCATCACGAACACGATTCATATGCGATGAAGACTGTGATGTAACGTTTGAAGGCGATGGTTGGCTAGCTTCAGCCTGATCATGTTCGGCCACTATATTATCATTTTCAACTTGTTCAAAAAGAAAGTCGGAGCTTGAATGTCTCCTTATAAGGTTATGAATGGCCATTGTTGCACAAACTAAGTATACTTGTGTTTGGAAGTCATAACTATGCATGTTTCATAAGATGTGAAATCTATTCTTCCAAACACCGAAAGTTCTTTCTATTGTGCACCTTAAACTGGAATGATAGTAATTGAAGGCTTCGTTGCTATTTCGGAATCCTACTTGTCGTCGGAAGTCCGGAAGGTGGTAACGCTCAGATCTGTATGGACCTAGATATCCATTTGGTGTTGGATATCCCGCATCAACCAAGTAATATTTCCCTAATGATTCATGAAACAATTAGAGAGATTGTCAAAATAAAAAAAATGAAATAATTAAAAAAACATGCGTGATTGAAACTTATAAACATATACCTGGAGGTGGATGAGGGAAATTAAGAGATGAATTTGTAATAACACTGTCAAATATATGAGCATCATGTGCAGATCCCTCCCATCCCGCCAAGACAAAAGTGAAACACATATGCCAATCACATACAGCCATGACATTTTGTGATGGATTTCCCTTTCTGCCAATAAATTTGTCTCTTTTTGCAGCAGGGACAACACACTGAATATGAGTGCCATCAATTGCTCCGATTGCGTCCTTGAAAAATGGATAATAACGTGGATCAGTCTCAATTTTTCTATGAGTTCCACGAAATGTAGGATCTATGGGTCGAATAAGTTCACTCAATAGGCTAAGGAAAGCTTGCAGTACATTATGAAAGTGCCTACTTACAGTTTCCCCTGAACGTTGAAACCGTTCCTGGATCATCCTATTGCATTGTCCATGTGCAACCGTGTTTAAAAACATCGCGACCATTTCTTCAATTCCTACGTATTTAGACTTTCGTAAACCGTGTTCCTCCAATTTGGTACATAAGAGGTGGAAAACATGTTTATCCACTCTAAACATTTCAACATCGATCATCATGGCCATTCATAATGCCTTGCACCCATAAATTTCTTGTCTGCTCACTAGTTCTGCAGGGTTGTTTAAACATATACATTTCACAGTAATGACCAACCAATGCACCTACTGCTTCATATTGTGTTAATTCCTCATTAATCTGTCTTGAACGGTCATCTTCATTCCACTGAGAATCATCATTCCAATCCTTCAAAGTATTTTCATTTAATGGTGAATCATCATTCCAAGAAGCCATTTCTGGAGTTAACCCTATAACTATGATGACAACAAAGTGTAAGCATTATAAGGATTACCCTAAAGAAGGTGTAAATAATTATCATACTGCAAACAGAAAAACTAAACACATATATGATAAGTAGAAATTAGCGTAAATATTACAGTCATTACTAAGATTTCTACAATAGGTCACATAAGTTTAGGTTCAAACAGCAATTAGTTCAAGTTAACAAGTGCAGTAACAACAGTGAAACAACAAAGTCCTAAACTAAATCCTAATCTACAAGTCCCTTCCATGTGTCTGGGTCTAGTGCTGCCGGTATCAACCACTCCAACAACTTGCTTCTATCATGCATAAACCCCAAATAGGCTCGTCTAGCCCACCTCAACCGCATAAGCATCTTCGCACATGCATAATATAGTTGAAAGTTACCATTAAGCTCCTCAAGGCTAGCCAGGTGTCCCCAAATCTTCTCAACTTGTTGGGGATCTTCAACCAATGCTGATGCTCGCTTTTCAAAAGCAGCTGCTATAACACTCAGGCTATCAAAAATTTTTGTAGTCGTAGCAACTTTTTTCTTCTTCTTCGCATCAGACATCTCACCCCTCTTCTTCTTTCCATAACTTCCTGAGTCACTTGGTCCAGTACTTGAACGGTTGTTTAAGTTGCAACTGGCAAAATCATCTGAGATCCCTGCGGTGGCTGTTGGGTCAATACCGAAATTTTCATCCTCATTGTCCCCGACCCTTCCTGTTGGTCGAGCTCGACTCTATAAACATCCTCCTCTTCTGTGTCAGGCTGTGGAGTGAATGCTAGCTGAGGTTGTGAGGATGATGGTGCATACATAAAGTCTCCCGAAGCCACAACATCTTTGAATATCCTCATTAGGTCTGATGCAAACATCAACCCTTGATGTCTAAATTTCTTGAAATTGGGATCCACCTACATTAACGTAATTAGGCAAGTGTCAGCGATGACGAAACTGATATTTAAAATTAAAACTCAACCAACACAAGTAGTTACCATTAATTTCCATTGCCACCACTCATCGGAGGCCAACACCCTATTTGTCGCTGCATCATAACCAATGCCAATCTCCCTAGACATAAGTTTCTCCCACAACTTCCAATCCTTTCTCAAAATGTCAAATCTATTCTTAAGTTGCTTCCTGTCATACATTTTCCCACTCCTTTCTTGAAAATTCTTTGTAATTTTGTTCCAACCTGGCCTCATAAATGATGTTCCTTGCCGTTCCTTGTGCACAATTTGCTCGACACAAACATTGATTAGGATTTTCGTCGTATACGAATCCCAACTCGCTTTTTCTTTATCGTTATCCATTTCTAGGTGGAAAATAATATAGATAAGACTAACAGAAGCAAACAAAGCACCAAAAATGTTCAAATTCAAGCTACATTATGTAAGAAATAAACGGCTTGTTTTACTTGCTCAATAAATGGCTTGTCTTATCTCCTAATTTTTGGATTCCAAACGGCTCATGCTCACTCCCTCTGCCCCTCCCCCAAAAAAATGTGTGTGGGTGTATATATGTGAGTGTCATGCAAAACAATTTATAAATTCATAAGAGTACTTAACAATTTTCTTAAAAACCTGTCCCACCGAATTAAGGGTAAAAATTTTTTCAAAAAAAGAATTTATAAACATATAAGAGTAATCAATAATTTTTCCCTAAAATATCCTTCACCCTTAAGAATCCAATTAATAAGAAGATGATGGATAATAATTGAAGGCAAAAATAAAAAGAGAATACTTAGGTCAAATTACTTGAATTGGTTAAAAATGTTTTATTGATGTGTAAATTAAAAGAAAACTTATCATAAACTAATAAGAAGTGGACCATTTGACAACATTAATTGATATCGAATGTAATTTGGGACTCAGATTTCTTTTGGAAGAATATGGCTCATTCCTCCTGTCTCCTACAACACTCATTTACAGCGAGCAATTAGGATCTATGCCAGGTTTAGCCCAAAACTCAGATCTAAAAATCAACAAACGTCAAGCATTCATCACAAAAATTCACTGATCACTGAAACACAACACAAAACTAGGCCAAGAAGAAAACATTCAGACAGCACGGTGGTTCAATTTCAGTCTATCTATCAGCTCACAACAGATCAACAAACACACAACTCTACATGCTTTGATTAATAGTGTATCACTCCTACATTCACCGAAAACCAACACAAACATATGGGAATCGGCCAACCTCGCACAAATCAGACCAATCGAAGTTAGGCAGAGGTAGATCGGCCAACGCTGATCACTGAAACACAGCACAAATCAGACCAAGCTAAGATCTTCGACGCACACCTGAGATGGACCAGCTGACGGCGGCGACTGGTTGGGACGACGATAGCAGCTCCAACATGGCGGACTCGCGTGATGAACGACTAGCCTCTCGGTCACTCAAAGCCAAAGCCAAGTTGCTTCCTGCCACCGAGGAGACGCGACGGAGCTGACGGCAACCAAGTCTCGGTGGTTCTGGCGACGACGCGACGGAGGATGAGGGGAGGCAGCTCGCGTGAAGGACTCTCGGTCACTCGAAGCCACACCCATACCTCACGGAGGAGACGCGACGGAGCTTACGGCAACCAAGTCTCGGTGGTTCTGGCGACGACGCGACGGAGGATGAGGGGAGGCAGCTCGCGTGAAGGACTCTCGGTCACTCGAAGCCACACCCAGACCTCACGGAGGAGACGCGACGAAGCTCACGACAACTCTCGGTGGTTCCAACGACGACGCGACGGAGGAGGCAGGATGAGGGCTTGGGGTCGGGCAGAAGGGAGAGCAGACGTGAAGAAGAAAAGAAAGAAGACTCCAGGAAGAAAAATGAGGACTGGCCGACAGGAAGAGCTCAACGGTAAAAAAATAAGAGCTTATCTGATTCAATAAGCCACAAAAATGAGCTTGGGCCAGAACGTGCGTTTAGTAGCTTAAATTGTATAAGCTACTTTTTTTTTTTAAGCCCAACCAAACAGCATCTTAACACCAATCGGGCTTATGCTGATTTTAAGCTACTTATAAGCTCTTTAGAAGCCCAACCAAACGGACCCTTAGTGCCCAAAAGTCCCTTTTTCCAGTTTACCTTCTCCAGATTTCTTCTTTACTGGCTTTCTTGATGAGCTCGGGCAAATATCAAATTCTATAATATAGTTTCATATATAAATGTGTCAATGCTTAGTCCATTAAACTTTTATTATTAAGATATAACTTCTTTTGACCCATTAATGAACTATATTCCTTTTATTTAATAGTTGGTCATCCTGAAGAATAGTTCTTATTCATAATATACCTTTTGAAATGTTCTCCTTCCTTTTTTAGTTGCAAACAGTTATCTTACTTAATAACCAGTCATCTTGATCAAATATATTATTTATATATATCACATTTAAGGACAACAAGGTGCCCTCCATGGCTCAATCATCCAATCCCAATGAAATAAAATTAATTAAAGTCCAACTTCAATAATTTTGCATGCATGGCCGAGACACACAAACTATTATATATATAATCGCACCAATTGATTTTATCTCATTTCCAAGCCAAGCAATTTCAATTTCTAATTATCTATTAATTTTCTTAAACTTTGGTCTAACATTCCTCCAACAACCTTTCTAACAAATTCTATCAATTATCAATTTTATCCCATACCTTAATCGTTGACTGTGCCATTAAGGATTTTCCTAATGCACACCTTTGAGATGATTTCCAAACACTATAATCTTTTATCAACCCATTTAAAATTTCCATCCACCATTTGAAAACCTCAAGCAAACCCCAAACAATAATTTCAAGTCAATTCCTAGCCTAAATTCTCTGGTCCCCAAAACAGCCACCACAATCAAATATCTAATATATTAAAACCTCATACTTGAATTTCAATCAATCTCATCCTCAAACTCAAAATCCCAAACTTCAAATATCTACTCACCTTATCCCTACAAACTTCAACATTCCTCAAACAACTTTTCTTTATGAATTCTAAAACTCCTATGGTTTCTATGTTCATTCAATTACAATCTTATAGCATTTCTTATCTTTTTACTTACAAAATCATTATCAAACCACCGCATTTATTCAACTATCTCAAACTTGATTTAACCCTCACCTTGATCTTCCCAAATGTAGTTAATTCATCTAGAACAATTACTAAGCATTTGGAGCATCAAACAAACAACCTTGAATCCATTTTTAAGCTTCAAAATTATAATCAAATTCAACATCCCCCGATTATACAATGCTGTCCAAAACAGGGGGGAAAAAGAAATCCACAAACTCAAACTCTAACATTCCAACATACCATATATTTGCCATTGATTCTCAATTCCCTATATAGTGATCATTTAAACAGGGGCATTATGCTTAACCCTCACCCTTCTAAGATTCATTTTTTATATACATGTCTATAATGTAACATTTTATATAAGTCTATAAACTTCCTATTAAAGCATCGTGCATTTAGACTCCTCGTTAACAAAACAGAGCAGCAACTTATACGCACACATATATTTTAGACTTCCTTGATCATCTAACAACCAAACCAGAGGTATTTTCTTAAATCCTTAAAGCTTCCAAGATCATTATCACGTCTCACACACATACTTCCACAATAACCATTTCCTAACAGTACCCCCAAGCCCTATATATACACATACATCCGATAATATACATACATATATATATTTATACATGTTTACCATGAGCCTTAACCATCATTTAATTGTCTCCGCTATCATCTACTTAATTAGAACACTTAACTTCCAGCTTCCAGGGTCAAAACACAAGTAATCAAATACACAAACCCCCCCACCACAATGCTTCATTCTTCTCATTCACGCGCTTATCTTCTGAAATTCTCAAACAACTTTATTCAATGAATCTGAAAATTTTCAGATCCGAAATACACCCAACAAAGATCCAAACTATCACATGCAATCCCTTAAATCCAACACTACAAGCTTGATCATTGTTTTTCACTTTCACAAGCTATGTCCGACGCCATTTTTCTAAGTCATTACCCCTGTTTCTGCAACAATAATCCAGAGCATATAATAGACATGCATGAGCATAAACCCCTTCAACAAACTCCATTATGACCGTTTAACACAGCCTATCTCGGCACTTTCTCTCTCTTAAAACTGGCACTTTCTGTCTCTTACAACCAGATTTTACCGTCTTTAACAGTTACAAAACATACCCCATCAGAGAGAAATGAAGAAAGGAGAAGATTCGGGAGGCTTACCTTACTCTAGATCACCGGTTGCATGCAAGATATTTCTCTCGGACTCTCTCGCTCCTTCTCTCTGGTTCAGCGTCGCAAGAAATGAAAATGGGAAGGGAATGGGATGGTTTAAACTAGCTAGTGATCAGATTGGACTGTTCATATCTGATTCAGATAGTCAAAATTTAATTATTTTATTTTTATTTATTTAAAATAATTATTTTAACAGGTATAAAATCCAAAATAGAAAAAATTAACTATTATTTTTTTTTAAAAATAGTTTTATATTTAAAAATAATTAATTAAAAATTTTAAATCTGGATTATTCAAATTATATACAAACAGATCAGATGTGATGAATTTAAAGTGCTCATCAATTTGATCAGGACTGAAACTAGTTCTATGGTTTAAGTGGGAGAGAGCAAATGAAATTATCAATATGCTCCTTAATCACCATTTGCTTACAATTAAGTCCTCTATTTTCAGAATTAATTAAAATTTCAAAATTTAATCCTCAATAGTTTTAATAAATTTTCTTTGTCCGTTAGTTTCTTTGGCCCATCAAATAGTTTCTCTTAAAAATCCAGATCAAAAATTAATTTCTAAATTTAAAACTTAATCCTTAATTCATTTTAAAAATCTTCTGCCTCAATTGGCTTCTTTAACTGATATAATAATTATCCTAAAAATTTCAATCCAAATATAATTCTCTAATTATTTTTCTTGAATTTATGAGAAATAAGCCTTTTTTTCTCCGAGAATTAGTTTCAAAATTATTTAAATTATTTTTGAGAAAATTAACTCTTTCATAATATCCTAAACTCTCAAAATTAATATTTCATAATTTTTTCTCAATTTTCTTGGACATTAAATAATTTTAATAATTATTTCTTCATGATTCTTCCTAACTTTTTTAATATCTTGAAAGTCAAGATATTACACCTAATATCTAATGCAAATTATTAAAAGGTACTCTATCAAAATCAAAATATATGTTTATAAATAATTAATTTAATAATGTTTTTAATATTATCTAATTATGAGGATGACTACATATCCTATACAAAAGTTCATATATAATGTCACCTATGGTCCT